TATCCATAGTGCTTTGAGACCACTCTTGAGTTTAGCGAGGAATTTGTTATGGGTGAGGGCTTAATTGAAAAGTTACCAATAATAGTTTTCTCCATTTGATTAGTGAGTTCCACAATTCAAGAAAATATATCTTTTAGGTTCGTGAACAATAACTAGTAAAAAATATTCACAATTGTTCTTGAGCTTATCCTGGTCAAAAGCTATATTGGTAAGAGATCAGTCTGGTGTAAAATCTCATTATTTTTCTATTCATCTTGTGTAAAATCTTTGTAGGTTCAAGATCAACCCGGTAAAAATCTCAGTTTGGTTTGTGATCAGCCTATGTAAAACCTCGGTATGTTTAGGAGGATATCCAACTCAAAAATTCATCTTGGTTTGAAGATCATCATGTGCAAAATATCTTTTTGTCTTAGAGACTAAGCGTTTGAAGCTATGCTCGATGTTTGGTTTGAAGACCAACTGCTTCAAGCCTTAGTTTGTTATTTGGTTGGAAATTAGCCTGAAACTTCATTGCCTTGCATAAGGGGGTTCATGGGCTTAACCTTCTAAAAGTTATCAAGAAATATTGGATACTGTCAAGATCACTTCTTGGGGAGAGGAGTAGGTCACTTCGTTAAACCAAACCTCTAAATTTCTGGTGTCGTTCTCTCTTCCCTTATCTCTTTTACTTTTCGCTTATTTTCTTTACTTCAAATTTCCACTGGATATTCAAACGTTTTTGATAAAATATTTTCAAATAGCTCTGATTTCCAAAATGATTTTATTTTAAATCAATGATTTTCAAACATCCACAATTCACCCCTTTTTTATCTATGAAGTCATATGTTCAATAATATACTCTGCCTAATCGATTAAGGCTTTAGCCAATTGATTATATAAAGGCATAAAATTTCTTAATCAATTAAGACCACTCATTGATTAAGACACAAGTTGTTATAGGTTTTCCTTTTTGGGAAATAGGGTTTCCGTCTTTTCAAAGCTCATAATCGATGATTACATTTAAAGGCCCATAGATCATTTTCCTTTTTGTGCCATATTTTTCATCTGTAAATAATGGGCTTCTCCTTACTTTTAAAAAACACCAGAAAACATATTTATGGGGGAATCAACTAAAGTCTTGCCAGGGAAACTCAATTAAGTCTCTCATGAGGGACTCAACTAAAGTCTCGCTAGAAGGGACTTAACTTATGTCTCACACGAGAATTTAACTAAAGTCTCTCTAGAGGGACTCAACTAAATTTTCTCTAGAGGAACTCAATTATAGTCTCGCCTAAGGGACTCAACTTAAGTCTCACCCTAGGGGATTCAACTAAAGTCTCATCAGAGGAACTCAACTTAAGTCTCGCCAAAGGGACTCAGATAAAGTCTCGCTAGAGGGACTAAAATAAAGTATTTCTAGATAGACTAAACTAAAGTCTAGCTTTAGGGGCTCAACTTAAGTCTCGCCTTGGGGATTTAACTAAAGTCTCACCAGAGGGACTCAACCTAAGTATCGCCTGAGATACTCAACTAAAGTCTCTTTAGAGGGACTGAACTAATGTCTCTCCAGAGGGACTTAACTAAAGTCTCGTCTGATGGAATCAACTTATGTATCTCCATAGGAACTCATCTAAGTCTCGCCAGAGGGTCTGAACTAATATCTCACCAGAGGGAGTCAACTAAAGTCTCATCTGATAGACTCAACTTATGTATCTCCATAGGGATTCAACTAAGTCTTACATGAGTTTCTCCATTCAAGGTTAGATTTGAACGATTCCAAATGAAAGGACGTGACATCTCATCTCCCAACAAACCTTGTTTAGCTAGATCAATTAAATTCATTTTGCTAACATGTATGAACCTTAAATTCCATAATTTTATTTTATCATGAAAGTTTTGACTAACTAATAATGCATGACTTATTATAATAGAATCATCTAAAATATTCAAACTTTATATTTTTTTACCTTAGAAATAGTCAATGCACCCCCACAAAAGTCTTTAATAGTATTGTTACTAATGTGGCTCGTGTGGTTAGTTTTATTGGTTAGAAGCCTCGTGTGGTGTTATTATTTGAGACATCAATGGTAGTTGGCTAGGGGTTTCCCAGTGACCAATTTATGGAGAGTAATGGAAGGTTTTAAGTAGGCCGAAAGGTTGGGGTTTATTGTCATTAAATTGAATGTGGACTTGGCAGCACTTTATCAAGTGATTAAAAAAGGGGTACTGGTAGTGTTATGAGTTTTTTCATTGGTGAAGAACATCCAGAGATTACTAGATTTGGAGTGGGAGGTGGAGGTTTCACATTCTTATAAGGAGGCGAATCAATGTGTATGAGTTTATTTTTATTTTTATTGTAATGAGATTGTTTCAAAAAGACTTGTTTGACTCAACTTAGGCATTTACTTTCTCTTGATGTTATGGGGGTATACCACCCTTAATTAATTTTGTTGTTAGCTTTTCTTTTTTAGGTTGAGACCATCATTAATATAAAATTAAAATTTCTAGTATAATTTAATCCATCAGACATGCTTATGGATGATAGAAAATTTAAGTTTAAATAAAAAATTAAATACACTTGAAGAAATTTATTATTATATTTAATATTTTTGTTAGCAACAACCAAGCAACTTTTTAGACATTATTGAAAAGTTACATTAATAATTCTAGTAAAAACGATATATTTTTTTTCTATTTTTTGACTGTTTATACTTGTACTTGTTTTTTCACACAGTATAGTGAAACATTTTAGGTAGGGATGGCAAAAAAGCCCGTGCCCGCGGGTATTCGCGGATATAATCCGTCACGGATACAATGTGGATAGCTTAATGGATATCCATGGATAAAATAAATGGATATTTAAATATCCGTTATTTAATAGATGTGGATGCGGGTTTAATGATACCCGTACCCGCAGATATCCATACCCGTTAATAAATTATAAAAAGTATTTAAATATTTTTAATTTATTATAGACGTCATTACATCTTCTAAGAAATTTAGTTTTTTCATATTTCTTTTTTTAAAAGTTTTCTTGGAAGAAAAAGAAAACCTTTCACATTCCAAGAAAAATCATATTTAGTCATTTTATATTTATTTAGACTTCTTCTATATTTTAGACCTAACATCTCTTTCACTTTCACAATTCCACTGTCCAACTCCAACCCAAAGAACCAGTACCGTCTTTTCTCTATCCAATACTGCAACTCAGAGTCATAATTTCCTAAATGATTAAGGTAATCTATCTACCTTGTTACATTTTGTTCTTGTTCTTACTATTTTAATTTTAATTTTGGTTGTTGCAACACTGAAGTAGTAATAGGTGGGGCTGCAAAATAGTTTCTTATTTTAAGGCAATTATAATGCAAAATACTACTAAACCCTAAACTAGTAAAAAGAAGAAGCACTATATACAAAACACTATATTCTTATTTCTTTTCAGGTTATACCAAATCAAAAGTTGAGGTTATTGAAATTAATTAAGTATTGGAAGATATGGATGCTGATATTATTAGTGAATGAAATTGTTAGTGTATCTTATAAGATTTGGTTACAAATATCACTGTTATTTTGGATATTTTATTTGGAATCTTTTAAGCTTTTAATGTAGGAGCTAGGAAACCAAAGTATGAATGCATAATATGGAATTTTGTAATGATTGATGAAAACTATTTGCATTATTACTTTTTATTTTATTTAAACAATTATTATATGGTATGATGAATTTTATTTTGTTAAAATGAAATGTATGGATATTATGTTTGAATGTTATTATGTTTTAGTGAAAAAAGAATGAAAATAATATGATGAAGTTTAGTTGTTAAATTGAGAGCGAAAAAATATATTTTTAAAAAATAATTTTAGACAAAAAAAGTTATTCATGAATATCTGTAAATATCCGCGGATACCTTAAAACCCGTGGATTACCCGCTTAACTGATATCCGCATGGATATGGGGCAGATACAGATATCATATTTATCCAACGAGGCAGACACGGATATCATACTATCCGCCCCCATGGATATCCATTTACATCCCTAATTTTAGGTTGATGCTTAGTAGAGGTAAGAGTAGTTCTTCCTTGATGATTTATAAGTAAATATCTAGCCAACTTAATTAGTCCACTTTTGTCTTGTAGTTTTCTTTGTTTGCTTGAGCCGTGTGCTGAGATGATTTTATTAGATCTAAAAAAAGATAGTCCATAAGAAAGAAAGACAAGGCAAATCCATTTCCGTTGAGCGAATACTATTGTATCGCCCTAATTCACCCAAGGAACGCTAGGCGAATACCTTGGTGGTGCCACAAGCCGCTTTGGGAATACCATAAGGTTCCCATGTTGGGTTGAGCCATCTGAAACAGCTTCATTACCCACTTGTTAAGTGGACATGTATAGACGTGTCCCAACTCCAACGGGTGGAAGGAGGCAGTCAATGAGAAAAACTGTATTCCCCACGATAATAGGAGAAATACTTGAAATACACTCCAAATTTTAATTTAGTGGGAACAACCACTTCTTAGTTCTAAAGACCCACGTCTAGGAAAAACTTATTTATATCTCGTCCCGTTAAGAGATGAAGGGATCAAATTATTCACCCACAGAAATACATAAGAAGCTTCTCATCATTCTTTTGGAATTATATCTAAATACCGCCCAAAACATCTTATACACCATATACATTATAGATAAATTCTACAAACACGTGGTTACCTTCTTTATAATTTTTTAGCACAAAAAAACTCTTTTTATCCAAAATAATAAATTAAAATTCTACCTTAAATAAATAAATATTTCAAAAAATTAAGCACTTTATTGAGAGTTCCCACCTTATTAATTAGTTTTACACTACGCATTAGCACATGACAACTCCATTTTTTCTTTCCTTTATTTCCTTGCTGTTAAAAGAAAGCTAGAAACTACAATATGAATCACTCACATTAAAATTAGATGCAACAAATATGCAACATCTAATGGATATAAAGTCGTCGAATTAATTAGGGTTTATTGGAACCTAGCTCCCCATTAAGAATATTTTGTTTCAAGCTCATGGGGTGGAATGTTTGAAATTCCTTGTCTTTGTAATTCACTCATTACGCTGTCATGTGCTGGAGCCTTAAGTCCAAGTGGTAGCGGCAACCATGGTTTTGATAAAACGTCTCCAATAGCTGCATCTATGCTCTCGTTTGACTGTAAAAAAAAAGTAATTAAAAACAATAAGGGTGATTAAGTTTTTAGAGACAAGCTATAGTTTAACCATGACAAAATAAATATGGTAAAGTGGAAATTTACCGGATGAAAGTCGAAGAAGAGATCGGGACCAGAAGCAGGACCGGCGGTGGCAATGGTGTGATCTGCTTCGTACATACCATGCGGTGGGATGCTGGGGAGTTGACGTCCAAAAGATCTCTATTCATCAAAGAAAGATATCAGATTATTTTAGTTAGACAAATCAATGAATTATAAAACATGAACTATAAGGTTTCAGTTTAATTAAAGAGGTAAAATTACCTGTTGGTGTTGAGAATGCCAAAATGAAGGGTCTTGAGGTGGTGCTGGTGGCCACGGTTGCGGCTGCAGCTGCGGCCACGTGTGCATGAATGACTGATCCATTGAAGGATGTCCCCAAACATGTAAGGGTCTAACATGGTGCAATGGAATCATGGGAGGAGGAGGAGGAGGAGGAAAACCCATGGCGGGTACTGCTGCAGGAGTTGGCCATGAACTGATAACTTCTCTCTTCCCTCCTACTACACCATACACATGTCTTCTTTGATTCCAGTTTGCTGCTTCTGCTTCACGCGCTAACACATGTTTTCTATGGGACCTATATTTCTGTATTCACCATTAAAAAATTATGCTACATGTAACAAATAATCATACACAAATTGAAATTAATAGTTAGTATCTTCCGCGACAAAACAGTATTAGTAGATAGCGATACTGATACCGTTATTTACTGTTATGTTAAAAATAAATTAGGATTAATTTATACGATAACAAGTGCAATCAGTATCACAACATAAATCACCTAAATCTTTAAAACAACCCTTGTTTAGAGCCTTCTATATGTACCTGAAGGTGGCTGGCAATGTTATGGCGAGTGAGACAATCAATTCCCATAATCTCCAAAATCCTTGAAGGCACCGCCTTATCCAATCCTAGTTGTTCCACTGCTTGCACAAATCTCCTATGCAATTCTGGTGTCCAATCCACCTAGTTACACACAAAAGAAAAACCCACAAATTAAATAATACTGATAGAAAATAAATATAATTTTAAAAAAAAATGATATCCTTGCACCATCTTCTACACCTACACCGTATTTCACTACTTATCAATACGGTAAATAGTGAAATATTATAATATTAAATATATTTAAAAGATAAAAATAATTTTTTTTTTAAAAATAAATGATACTAATATAAAATTGTGTGATTAACCAACTTCATAACTGCATTAACCTAACATTTTACATGTTATTAACCAATTTTGTTTACTGTTAAAAAAATATTTTTTTCTTTTCATTAACCAATTTTATTTTACTACTAAAAACTATTTTTAATATCTGGGCGTTTATAAACCAATTTCATCATTTTATTAACTAATTTTTTATATTTTATTAATCAATTTTTTTTTCATACTTTAAAAACCTATTTACTAGCCGCTTTTCATAGTATTGTTCATAATATTTTTAATGAATATATTTTTTTATTAAAAAAATACATTATTCATCCTACAAATAAAATGAACAATATATACTATGTAAATATTAGTGTAGGATATTAGTGTATGAATAACATTGCTCTTTAAAAAAAATATTTTCTCTGCACGCCATATATTAGAATAATTTAATACTACCGCTTGATTAGAGAGAGATTTTTTTATCATGGGTCAATTCTCAAAATTTCCAACAATTCTAAGCTTTGTAATTCTGCTTCTATCTGTACAGTTAGGTTACCCGTGAGTTTTTTCGACACACCTATCAGAAACTTTTTCAAGACTCGTAATTATAAGACAGTGACAGAACCTTAATGATAAACTAAAAAGCTACGTACTGCGCATGATGAACTCGACTTTCACTGAATTTAATTACCATATTAAGATAAACCACCTTTCAAGGATAATATTCTAAACTTCCTTAAATATAAACATACCTTGACTTTTCTCTTTCCATGACCCTCAGGATTCTTAGATTGATTCGATGATTTTCTTCCCTTTCCACCATTTTTCGGCAATGGATTCACATCAACAGATTCATCTCTTTTGCTTAATAACTCCTCCGAACCTTGCCGACTCGGAAAACCGCCTATTTTATCTTCTTCTTTAGACGGATTATTTTCATCCGCTATCTTGATAGTGGATAAGTTTATCTCCGATTCATCTCCGTAACTAACAGAGAACTCAGCAAAAATCTCTGAATCCATATCCATATCCAAATCCGGCAAGATGTCTCCGTTGATGTTGATGTCAACAAAGAAATTGTCGAAGTTAACGCTTTCCAATAAATTTCCGTCGCCGAATTCGCCGGTTGTAATTGAAGTACTCGCCATGGAAAAACTCTCCATCCCTTCTTGGTTTTCATCTTTGTTGATGCTCCTCAATGGTGACACCGCAAGCATCAATACTCTCAGATCCACACAACTCAACCTAGTTACAAATAATATATTTTTCTAGCAAACTAAGATTTGCTCAATCATGTGTGCATGAAAATTGAGAAAAGCTTAGCAATGATAGGGTTTAAATATAGTATTATTTAACTTGGTGAGGAGAAGGAGAACATGTATTGAAATAATGGAGAAGAGTTTGGTTTGTAGCAATAATATGATTAACGTTACCACTTTTGGAAATGATGTCAGAAAGTATGTGGAGAAGGATATTGAATGAGAACCACAATTTGGTGAGGTTTCAAAAGAGATTTGTTTTTATGTGTTTCGTTTGGGAGTGTGTGTGTTAGTTGCAGTGTTGGTCTGTTTCCATTGCATAATTATATAATACTTGTTTGTGGATGGCCTTTTTTTGAATAGTCAAGGTTTTTTTGAAAATAATTCATCACAAGTGCTCTTGTGAGCTAGCTAGTAGCTTTTTGTATTATTAGTAGATAATATATATATATAATTTTTTTGTATTGATGAGCATAAATGGTGTATGAAGAGACTAGTGAGAGATTTAAGTAGGGTCAGATAAAGCATGTCTGATAATAACAGTATAGTAGTACAGTGAAAGTGGAAATAAAAGGAGAATGGAAAGGGGTATATGCCTTTTTCTAGTTTTGGAGAAAGAAATAACTTTTGTTTTTGAAATGTGAATAGCATGTGTGTACAAGATAAAAATAAAGTAGAAGAGTGAGCTAAAAAATATTAGAATTGTACTTTTTTTTAGTTACACTAGACAAATATCCTTGTTATCCACTGGTTTGTCTAATCAAAATAATATGTTAGATTAAGTAAATAAGCTCAGTCGATTAGGAACAGAAACATGGAGTGTGAATGGTATGTGTTTGCCGATTTCAATATTATATTATCAAGACAAGAAAGGAATGATTTAGGAAACTCAAGTTAGACGCTGGCAGAAATGAATTAATTCAAGTTACTCATAGGTAATGATTATAAATATAGAAAAATCATAGATGATATTGAAGGTAGATAAACTTTCAATTCAAACCGACCGATCTATTATTATTATTATTATTATTATTATTATTATTATTATTATTATTATTATTATTATTATTATTATTATTATTATTATTATTATTTTTATTTTTTTTTAATGGGTCCAAAAGAAAACAAATTACAAAAACAATTTTTTAGAGGTGAAATCTCCAATTTATTTCTACAAGCAAATGCTTAATAAAATTAGGAGCATAGGAGAAACAAGACATATTTGAACGTAACTTATACCTAATTTTGGCTAATGCATTTGCACATTGATTAACTTCTCTAAACGTATGCGAAACAAAAGTCTCATCAAAACGATTTAAGAGGCTCTCAATCTTTTTAAACATTTCTAGCCCATCACATCTACTAGATCTACCTTGGTTTAATTCCATAGCAATCTCAGAAGAATCTTTGTTAACTTCGACTCTCCTGAATCCCAAGTCTAACATCAACCCTTCAAAAATGTCCCATAACTATGTCATATAACTATTACAAATTCCCACATTCTTTGAGAAACCTCCCAAACAACAACCTTCCTTATCTCTGATTAGACCTCCACAACCTACAAAAACACCCTCAATGCAAGTCCCATCCATGTTAAATTTCACCATATCAGACTTGGGAGGCAACCACTTAACAAGTCTAGCCTCCTTATTTCTATCAATAGCCTTATTGTTGATCATCAAAGTTTCTTCATAATCTTTCAACCGAACATACACATGCAAATTAGAATTATAAGGTCTAACAAAATCCTCCACATGCTCCTCTTTATTGTGCCAATACCAAATAGAGTGACAAGCCAGTACTCAAAAGTTATTCCACCCTCATTCCTTCAAACAAGAGAGAGTATACTTCTAGAATATAGATCATAAATTGGTTATTTCAGCTGATGTTCTTCTACCGTTATATAAAGTTGTTAAACATAGAGGCTTTGTTGCTTATGAGCATGAGGGAATTCAATATAGAGATCTTAATATTCACCTTAATGATTAGAATGAAGTGATGATGGAGACAAAGTCAGACCCACTTTTGAAAACACAGTCTTCCTGTTGCATGGATTGTGACACTCCTTTTGTCATTAGGAAAATTCCGGATGTCCTATTGGAAATAAAATACCAGAATTTAATGAGTTGGTGTATCAAAATAGGTGGCAAGAAGCCTTAGAGAGGCTTCTTGAAACAAACAACTTTCTTGAGTTCACTGGCCGGGTGTGCCTAGCACCTTGTGAAGGTTCCTATGTGGTATTATTGAGAATCATGTGTCTATTAAAGACATTGAATGTGCTATTATAAACAAGGCTTTTGAGGAGAGTTGAATGATGCCTCAACCTTCTGTCAAAAACAAGGAAAGAATCATAATCATAACGACAAGTGTTAATCTCCAATAATTTAATCACACATTTCCAAAATAAAAATGGAAATTTTTTGAATCATCATCAAGCATTCAATCACGTGTTCAGAGCAAAAAATCACAATTCATCGCAGGTTTATTTTCTTCTAAAACCAGAATCAACATCATGATCTCACATTTAATTTCAAAATCAGCACATTTAATCCATAGAGCCTATAAAAGGATCATATATGTAACACCTTTTTCTACCCCACGAATATTATGGCAAAATAGTAGAGTTTATCAGAGTGAAATTTAAAACACCATAAAAATCACCCAAACGTCGTACATTTCTCAATAAATTCAAATCAAGGTCAATGCTTCGTAAGCAACGAGTTTTCTCAAAATTACTCAAAAGTGCTCAAATGACAGCGGAACTCAAAAAGACAAAAATCCAAAGTTTTCCTTTTATCCTAAGGAAATTAACATAACAAAAACTCAATAAAATAGTTTGACTCAAAGACCCCAACCCGATGTTACACTATCAGAGCAAGACCCTCTAAGTCAACACTACGCCAGAAATGACTTTTAGCAGCGTAACAAAAGACAACGCTTTCTAAAAAAGCGCTGCTAAAGGGTCATGAAAAAAAAAACAAAAAAGTAGCATACCTAAGACAGCGCTTGTTAAAAAAGCGCTGCTAAAGGGGGGGGGGGTCAAAGAAAGCGCTTTAAAAAAGCGCTGCTAAAGGGGGGGTCTACAAAAGCTTTTTAAAAAAGCGCTGCTAAAGGGGGTCATAAGGCAGACCTATAGCAGCGCTTTTAAAAGCGCTGCTAAATGCCAAAAAAAGCGCTGCTAAAGGGGGTCCTAAGGCATACCTATAGCAGTGCTTCTAAAAGCGCTTCTAAATGCCAAAAAAAGCGCTGCTATAGGTTTAAGTAGCATAAATTTAAAAAATTCCAATATTTTCACAGAATCAGAACAGTCTTCTTCTTTCTTATTTCCACTCGCGAAAGTTGCCCTATTCAGAATTAGAACAGTCACCGTCGACGCATTCCGTCCGCGCCTCCGTCCGACAGCCTCCGTCCGTCGTCTTTCCTCCGGTCATTCCGTCGTCACCTCATTCTGCCGCCGTCCGTCCATTGTTACGGTATTTGAAGTTTTTCATTTTGCATTTTTCTGGATTAATGTCTTAGTATTTCATTTTTTTGGATTATATGATGTTAGTGTTACTTCTTTTCTGAGTTTTTGACTTGTTTTTGTTGATACCGTTGATGAAAATTACTCGTTTGATATTGGCTTGAGTTTTGTATACAAGGTGTTTGTTGAAATGCCACAATGAATTTACTTATGTTAACTTTCATTATATCTAGCCGTATAAAAGGTGTTTGCTGAAATGCCACACCTTATATGAGTTCTTTTTACTAATAATTTTTATAAGGGAAATACTGCACATATATTCAATGATTTCTTAGATTATGTTGCTTTAGAAACTTCACACTATTTGTGATTTAGATGAAAGCTTTAAGTTTCTGTTAATCTTGAAATTTATTTATTTTTCTTAATCCTTATTTTTCTATGAAATAGTCTAAATTCACAAATAATCCTTATTTATTTATTAAATTTTAAAACATAAATATATAGATCCGACAACTTTTTTGAAATAAAGTTTGTTTGGCGAATTACACAACATTTAATGAATTCACGTGTCTTCATGAATGTGGATATAGTTTTAGAATGTATAGATCATTCATACAACTTTATGTTTGTATATGTATAATGATGTTTGATGTTGCAACATTACATTGTATCAAAATCTATATTTTGAGGGACTATATCTTTCGTCTTCTTCAATTGCAAGTGCCATGATCAATCTTATTCCCGGAGTTACATTTTTAATAGCAACCTTTATAGGGTAATTAATAACTAACTTAACTTATATTTGTTAGTCAATCAAAATTCAAACCAATAATAATATGTTTCTTTGAATATTTTACAGAATGGAAAAAGTAAATATTAGAAGTTTGAGAACTATAGCCAAAATTGTGGGGACTTTGATATGTATTTGTGGAGCTTTGTCTATAGTATTGTTGAAGGGTCCAAAACTATTAAATGCAACGATCATACCTTCAAAATCAATCATGGCTGGAAGTGATACTGATAAGAATTGGTTGCTAGGATGTGTTTTTCTTTTGGCAAGTAGTGTTGCCTGGTCATTTTGGCTAATTTTGCAGGTACTTAATTTCAGTACAATCAAAGTCTTAAATAACGGTCTATGCTTACGCGATTTTAGTCGGCACAGGTGTTAGTGGTTGTTGCGAATGTGAATTAACCATAATTAATTCCTTATCATAAAATCCGTCAATAACAGAATCAATAACAAAATCAATATCGGTACCATCAGAGACTGTTTTTTAAAATCTTAATAATTAATACTTATGATATAACTATTATTCTATAAACATATAACATTTCACCCTTATATATTTTTCAGGTTCCAGTTTACAAAAGTCATCCTAATTATTTATCACTGTCAGCTTGGATGTGTTTCATTTCAACATTATAATCAGCCGTAGTGACAGTATTCTTGGAACCAGACCTTAATGCATGGAAGATTAATTCTCTACTTCAATTT